CCCCCCCCCCCCCCCCCCCCCCCCCCCCCCCCCCCCAAGAAAGAAAGAAAAAAGAAATCTTTCCAAAGTATGTGTTGTTTTGTTTTGATCTTCTCCTAGCTGATGAGATAATTACCTTAACCCTGATAGTAATATTTATTTTGCAGTTCCACACTTTGGTGGATTTCAGGTTTCCCCTCTCCATTCCCCATATGTTCATTGAGTAGTTTTATCGCTTCAGATACTCTGCACTCTTCGGAGGAGCACAGAATGGGGGTTTGTTTATTAGAGCTGCAGCAATTCCTGTGGTAAATGTTTGCTGCTATATATTTAGGCTCTCAGCTGTCACTACAGCTCCCATCAGTGCTATCTTAGTAGTCCTCTTTTCCCTCTCCTTTTAAGAAATCACACCTTTTTAAAAAGCAGAATGCATTCATTGCCAGCTCGCTTCTAATCTTAAATGAGATAGGGCTGAGCTCCTGAGGTCAAGCAGCACACCGTTGGAATTTGTAGTCGCTGGAAGCAGATTTTAATGTTGTACCTTTGTTACAATAGAAAGTGGCATTTAATCATTTTGGCAATTGATTTTATGGATATTGATTTGATCTCACCCTACATGAAAAGTGTTGCAAATCTGGTTGCCCTGCTTCTGCCTTGGATCTTTTCTCATATCTCAGCATTGAGAAGAAACCAGGAGATTTGTGTTTAGCATCCTGCTCACTCGGAATGGCACATCAGGATTTCCCACATTAATCTCACTATTGTTTTTTTACAGAGCCTCAGCTTAAAGGTATAGTTACAAAGCTATACAGCAGGCAAGGATACCACTTGCAGTTGCAAGCAGATGGAACAATTGATGGAACAAAAGAGGAGGACAGTAGTTATAGTAAGTGGCACGAGAATAAATGGTGTGTTTGTGAATTGTGGTGTCTCATTCTTCCCATGTAGGTCCATCAGAGATTGTTGTCCCACAGTGACTGAGTGGCAGCAGCATTAACACTGTGTGCACAGCACAGAGCTCCTTCAGACTTACTGGGTCTGAAAGAGATGCAAATACAAATCACTTATAGGGATAACGAACTAGAGAAAAGTAATGATGACACATATGACAAACAAAGAAAATGTTATCTCCATGGTAATCTAGAGAAGTTCATTGCTGTCCTTTGGATTTTATTAGATTTTTTTTTCAACAGGGAAAATTTGCTCGCCTACTCAGAACGCCTGAAATAGAATAACTCTATCTCCACTCTGAAACTGGGGCTCATTCAAACAGAGCTGCGTTATCTCATGTAATGAGACTTCATCATCATTTCAAAGTTCACCTTTCCCTATTGTTATTATTATTACTTTTTTTTAACCCCCTTTCTAAACTTATTTACACCGTTATATTTCAACCAGCATTTCTGCAGGTGGAGAAAAAAAAGCAATTTGTGGATTTCTATTTATCTAACAATTTTGAGAGTTAACAGAAAACAAGAAATGATGACCAGAATATGGATTTGGTGCATGCTCATAAAATACGCAGATGTTTCTGACACCTGTATCATTTAGCTAAAACTAAGTTATTGTTCTGAAAGTGCTTAGGAGAAGTGCTGATGGCAGTGGGGAAGATGGCACAAAGGCTGGAGCGGAGCAGTGCTGGTTGGATGCTGCCCTGTTGCTGAGTTGTCCATGCAAGCACGACATCTCCTCTAAGAGCAGCACTTATGGATCATAACTGTTGCTCTTCCTTCAAGGGAGCGGTCTAATGATTGAAAATCGTGACAGATCAATGCAGATTGGTTCAGGTTTTCAGAGTAATTCTGTTAATTACCCAAAAAAAAAAAAAAAAAAAAAAAAAAAAAAAAAAAACCAAAAAACTAAAAAGCAGAAGAAGCAGGAAAACCTTATTTTCTCCATTACTGCATGATACTGCCATAAACTTTTAATGTACCAGAGAAGACATCTGAAACTGCATATTAATTTTGAAGGAA